CCCCCCCAATTTTGAAGGAAGTTGCATCTTTTTTGTCAAAACATACCTTTTTTGGCTCGCTAACTGAAAGCTGGCTATGCCTCAGGAAAGCAATGGTCATGTTCCAGTTTTCCAAATAATCACCATTGTCAACCTCATAGGGATTACAACAAAACAAATGCATTAGCAAGATTAATAAAATGACCCATATTTTAATCCTGAATAATTGTCAACCTCATAGGGATTACAACAAAACAAATGCATTAGCAAGATTAATAAAATGACCCATATTTTATTCCTGAATAATCAGAATAATCTGAATAATCAGAATTATTTTTATGAAATAAACTTTCTTATAAGTTTATCAATATATAGAAATATAGGGGTTGAGTTTTACTGGGGTTGAGTTTTACAGGGTTGAGTTGACTTGGGGTTGAGTTTTACTGGGGTTGACTTGACCTGGGGCTGAGTTTTACTGGTTTGAGTTGACTTGGGGTTGAGATGACCAGGAAGCATCATCGAGTAGTAGAAATAAACTTTTTTTTATCTCAAATTCGTAAAGAGAACGCAATTCTCGAATACTTGGCGAAATTGTAGCTTACTTTTAAAATGCTAGCCTTGCCCAAGTCGTTAGTTTTTTTACTTATCTGATCTTGAATTATTACCATAATAGAAATCAAGATAAGTAAAAGAGACCGACTTGGGCAAGGCTATTAAAATGCATAAGATAGTCAATAGTGGCTCGATTTTTATGAAATCTGTTCAATGATCATTTACCAAAAAGAGCAATAATGATTATTAAATACATTTTCTACAGTATTAGAAACAAGTTACATAACTTTCAATATTTTAAAACTAATTCAATACTTTATGAATTTAATTTTTCAACAAGAACACAAATGTGTACAAAATGTCCCCACCAATGGGTGATCCCGTCAAATGGTTATCCTGAAAATGAAATTTAGTCAGTTCTAGATTTTCATACTAAGAACCACCCCTAAAAATTTAAAATTGATCCGTCACACAGTTAACCAGAAAACATGTAAACAAGACTTTACAGACAAGATTTTAGGATGGAAAATTCAAAATGGCTGCCTTGACATTTACCCAGAATGTCAAAAAACTAATCTGATCAGATTTTCATACTAAGAATTATCATCCCTGAAAATTTGAAATTGATCTACAGAACGGTTCACCTGGAAAGACTTTACAGACAAGATCTAGATTTTTATATTAGGAATCATCCCTGAAAATTTGAAATTGATCCACTAAACGGTTCACCTAAAAACGCGCGGACAAGACTTCACAGACAAGATTTTAGGACGGAAAAATCCAAAATGGCCGACAATAAAAAAGTGATTATAAGTTTTTGCTGATTTCTTTTTACAAAATTATCACATATAACTACTGTTCAAAATAACATAGGCTTTTACAATAAAGTACACCTGAAATTATTTATAAAGCTACTACGGTAAATAGTTAAAGTATGAAAACTCAAAAACACCATTCAATATGATACAAAGTATTATCGCGCGCTGACTTTTCTTAAGACATTCAAAATGGCTGACATGACTGAGCTAACAGGTCCAAAACCTAATCAGATGTAGAATGAAGTAAGCTGAACAAGATATTAAAGTTTTAAAACCAACTGTGAAGCCGTTTTTCTTAAAGTTTGCAGACAAGGATTTTAGCATTTGACTTCAAAAGGGCCGACAGGAAGTAGGTATCGAGTTAATTTATTTTCATCCACATCAGTATACACTCATAAGTTATCCGCCCTGAAAATTTGAAGGTGATATCTGTAGCGATTTTGGAGAAAACTCCCGGACGGACGGACAGACGGAAGCGCCTAGGCCGACAATATGGCCCCACACTATATATGTAGTGGGGACAAAAAAAGTGTCATTTATCTGCGGCCAAGGTTAGAAGATAACAGAGGCACAAAAACTTTGCAAAAGAGTACTATTGAAAAATCGAGCATATCATATGGTATCAAAAAAAACATTTGTTAACCCCCCTATCACACCAAACTAGTTCTTACCCGTTCTTGCCAGTCCTACGAAAACGTCGTAAAACGGGCTCAATCTTGCTGTGGTCGGGAAATATATCTAAAATAATTAGCTACTTCGTTCATAAACAGTCTTCAATACGTCCATCTCATTCGCAGTTCGTTCAGGTCGCACCAATTAAAGTCGGTGTATAACGCGTCCCTTAGTCTAGAAGGTCATCATGACCTGATTACAGAACGGTATCGTTGCCATCGAATTTTGAATCGATTCAAAATTCTAAATCACATTCCCCGTCCGGGAAAGTCCATGAAGTTCGTAAACAGATCTTAGCACGTTGTAGCTACGTTCATTCATGCAGTTCGCACACAGTTTAAAACTGATTCGGCAACGTTTTGACGATCAGCAGAAAATTTTGAGCATGCTCTAAGTTCTAGAGGACCTACTCGTTCTAGTAGTTTCATGAAGTTTGTAAACAGATCCCAAACGGTTCTTAGAGTAAGTTCTTAGAATGAACCCCACTCTTAGAAAGATGACTACAAATGCGCAAACACTGTTCATCGCACTTCCATACTTTAAGCAGGTCCATAGAAAGAGAAAGGATTCGGAGGGTTCGTGCCCCTCCAAATCTTGCCTAACTTTGGAGTTAAAAAGTTTGCAGTCTCTTAAGAAATTTATCGTTATCGTTTTGTACCTAAGATATTTGAGGTGTATGTATAGATGAAAAATGTGTGAACTAATAACTTTATTTCGAGATAAAAAGATGAAGAATACAGAAAATCGATCTATGTTGATTGGTGATAATAGGTTTGCATACCAAGTGGAAACTGCCTGATTGTGAAAATGGGCTAATATTTATGATATAAATCAGAAAATGCATGCTACGTGATGCACCAATATTCTGAACGTGAGAAAAAGTCATACTAAAAATGTTCTTACTTTTTCGTGGTGGGTTATTTACGTAGTTTAATTTAGAAGAGTCATTATTTTCTTGTCCATTTCATGATTATAGGATACGAATTACATGTATTATCTCTATTAGCCAGTTAGCCATCTATTCAAGGTATAAACAAGCAAAAAATGTTAAATTCAATCTGAATTTTACATGGTTGTTTGCAGATTTCGGACAGTCATATGTTGGATTTTGGCTATTCTCTGAGGATTTAGACAGGTGCATATGTTAGACCAATGCATTACCTCCAGAAAAAGCACTCCTAGAGATGGCAAACAACCCACCCACATGTTTTTTTGAAATGTTTTCCTGATTATCAACCCCTTCCACCCCTGCTTTTCTTATTTTTCTTGCATCAATATGTTGTGTTTTGACACATAGATAACCCCTTTAAAGGAATTAGTGCGATTCCTTCGTTTTAAAGATACCATCAATGGGTGACCAAAATTACCTGAAAGCAATGGATCGCATGAGTTTTCCCTATGGGAAAATAACGTGGGAAATATTGTTTTCCACTTTATCTAAGAGGAATCACTTATTTATTAATTTAGGTCAAATTTAATTGACCTTTGCCAAACCCAACATATGGCTGTCCGATATCTGTTGCGATACTTTCCCTCCTCCTTTGGCAAAAATTAAGCAATTTTGGCCAAATTTAAACAAAAGCAAACTCGTCAGAATTTATAAATCGCCCAATATTTATTTCTCGATAGTTATTCTGCCATATCCAGCTTCTGATCATCCAGTATTTATTTAATTAACGCCTTCAAAATAAGTTAAATACCACTTTTACATACAACTGATTATGAATGACCACTGGGCCGGAGCTAGGATTTGCCGAGGGGGTTCAACTTTGACAACTTTGTCCCAAAAATAGCCCAAATCACTTGAAAAGTGCTCAGAATGGTGAAAACTGCATGATTTTGAAAGAATTTTTGGCCAATTCACCCAGAACACCCCCCCCCCCGACTACGGGCCTGGACCCGATGGAATCTAAAGTGCGAGTGGAACACATTTTGACTGAGAGTAAAACTACCGATATGACCCGAATATTCACAGACGATTTCGAGGATATAGGTGTTAAACATAAGAGAGTTATTTTTCATGATATGCCTATGACATGTCAAGGTTCATTATCTGTTAATTTTTTACATCAGCTCAACAGAACTATACAATACATGTTGTTCAAAAGTTGGTACGAATCATGAAAACGATCTTTTCAATAATTTCGTATTTGATTCGAACTGGCCTCCAACAAAATTTCTGTAAAAGTATGATTGATTTAAACATTGGAATATTTCTGATGTCTGAGATAAAGCAGCTTTAAGTTAAAAAATAAATTGCGAAATAAGTGATGCACCCACGACCGGGTCTTCACAAAATTAGACGATCCCACAAAGTTTTATTTAGATAAACTGCAATGAAAATGCTTTTGTTAAGGTGGAGGTGTAACTTGACTTTATTCCCTTTACCTCCGAATTTTCGCTAAACTACAATAGGTCATAAACATAAAGAACGATATTAAATAGCACCTAATCCAATGGGTTAGGTTTGCAAAAATTTGAGGGAGTGTGAATTGTACACTCCCCTCCATAAGTTTGGCAACCTTTGCTCCCCCATTGAATTACGTGCATGTTAAAGCCTCTTCACCTTTGAATTTTGGAAATGAAGTCAAATTACGTTTTTTAATACCGATTTTGATACACTTTACTCATTTTTTCTGGCAGCATTGTATATATAGCAAAAAGTAGAATATTCCGTTTTTTAATTGTTACAAAAGTTATGACATCGTTCTGAATAGGGTTCATAGCATGTTGTAATAATTGTATTAAACGATATCCCAATCACAGCCAATAATGTCAAACATATTTGTCTATGAGCCTAGTTAAACCAAATCTGAGCGTCCAAGTGGAATTTGAGAGACGGCCAGAAGGTGGCGACCACTGGATATGTATGTGAAGAAACAGTTTGCAACTCTGGTAAAGAACTGTCAAATGCCAGTCTATAGTAAATTGATGTACTTGTTTTTTACCTTTGAGTTAGTATACATGTACATGTACATGATGAACATGTAGTACCCTGTTTCATCTACCTTGTGTCGAGTTGAAGAATAGAGTGAATAAAGGGGCTTGATGCAAGCCTGTTCCAATTGTAGCCTTCAGCAAATTGCTACACTGTTCTAAGTTGCTTAATCACCAAAATCCAAACCATCTAGTTCATCTTTGAGTTCTGAATTGACTTGGGCCTCAATACTTGGAGCAGTAACATCTAAACATACATCGTATTGCTGGTCCAAGCCTAGGTACGAATCACTTAATACATACACTGTGTAAATGACACGTCCTAGAGTTTCTGGGCTGTAGAATGAGAGCTGTATGTTATTATGGCCACGTACATATCCTACACGTTTTATTGCTATCACTTCCTTTGTTTCAATTTCACCTAAAACAATGATCCAGCCCTCATCTTTGGCCTTAGGGAAGCGTGGGGCATATGCTTTACTGTCTTTTTTCCGTCTGTTCTGTCGGTGGAGTTTTATATTCAAAACATACGCTTGATCAGCATGCACAGTAATCCAAGATTCGGGTAAGGGACGGCCCCCTGTGATATTCGTGTTCACTTGTTTCGTTTGCTGGACTGTTCCCCCCTCCCACCAGCCCCTGATTGATAGCTGGACATCAATCTCTGGAAATTGAAGCACAACCTGGAGAATCTGATCAATCTGTGTCCTGTTGAAATATTCCCCTATGACTGCTGTTAATGATGAAATACCCCCTCTACACACGGCCATCAGTTCTGGAATACATTCGATGCCCCCTCCTCTCTTAGAAGACCTGAAACCAAATATCAGTTTGAATAAATGAATCAACTGGGCACACCCTGGTTTATCACAAGGGAAATATTAAGTCTGAATAAATGAATCAACTGGGCACAAGTCAAAATCAAGGTTGTAAACTTAACATATATAAGGATTATTGGGAGGTTTTGAATACAGGGTTTATCACAAGGGAAATATTAAGTCTGAATAAATGAATCAACTGGGCACAAGTCAAAATCAAGGTTGTAAACTTAACATATATAAGGATTATTGGGAGGTTTTGAATACAGGGTTTATCCCAAGGGAAATATGTGTATCTCTAAAAGGAGCCTGTTTCCATCCCTGTCCCCAGCCTTGGCATAGATTCAGTAGATACATTATATATTCCTATTCATTAAGTACCTAGAACCTCAATAGGTATGGAATACAAAGCGATGTTCTTTTTAAAATATGACCAGATTTGCTAAAGATGGACTGCACAGTGTATTCTGGTTTGAGACAAAAATGTAATTTTCCAGAAAATGGCAGGAATTTTGCCAGTAATTTTGAACTGAACTTGACATACAACAAGACAAATAATGAACTTCGCTTACATCAGGGCATCAACGTGGAAAGGTTGGATATGTGGCAATGTCAGCAGACTAGAATCCTCCAACCATCTTCCTTGTACCACCATCTGTATAAGATGTATGGTTCTCAACACTGACACAAGCCAGCCTTGATCTGCTAAGACATCTAACATTGCTTGGAGCAACCTGCAATCAAAATAACAGTAACAATAAGTAGTAGTTATTAGGGAGTTTAAGCGTGAAAAAAATTGAAACGCCAACCTATATCTATACCCTATACCCAATTGTAATCACTGAAAGTAACAAAATATTATAGTGAATTTTTCACTTGAAAATGTGCACGTTGAAAAATAAACACAGTTTACAGTACTGTAATTAAATAATATCCACACCATTGTGATATTTTGTGCAAAGTACTTAAAATAAATAAGGATTGTGCACTTTGTTGAGAAAAAAATCTGTAAATATAATTTAATGATAAAATAAGAATCCAACCTAATAGCCTGGTCTAGCACTGATTTCGTATCAGTGAGGTAGTCCGTTGATGGTAGGGACTGCTGTGAAAAGTGAGCCTGAAGTAGAATAAACGTCTTCGTATTTGAGCTGTCAAGAGAATGTGTGTTGACCTCCAACGGAACTTTCTTGGCCAACTCACTGTTCAACTGGTCTTCATTATGCCTCACGGGGAGTTCAGAGTATTCATAAGAATCAGAGAGTATCTCGAGAAGTTCTGGTATTGATGACTCTGCTTTGAAGCGGTCCTGGAACATTCGAACGGTTGTATGATTTATGTAGTAATATGAGGAGATTCTTCCCAGAACCATAGCCTCTATTCCATTGTTGTCATCCGAGATTTGAATACAGGATGACAGTTGTAAGTCGTAGAGAGCTTTCTCAACGAGTTGTGATAGAAATTTGTTAATGCTGTCGTGATCTGTGTTGTCCAGTTCATAGAAGCTTGGGTTCATGACGAGCCGTCTGAAGAAATACGTCCATGTTATGTAGTCCATTGCATCTTGCTTTGAGGCTATTGTGCCTGCGACAATCTCAGCATTCAAATGATCAGGTAACACTTCCAACAAACTTGATTCAACTGGGAAAGGTTCGTACAGAAACTTCTTGTAGAAATGTTTCTTTACGTCATGTACAAGGATCACAGCTACACCTTGATCGTCGAACTGAGGGCGCCCTGCCCGACCCATCATTTGGAGCACATCAGTGATCGGAAAATCAACATAACGGCGTGTTTTACCATCAAAATATTCAGTTCCCTTGACAACAACAAGATGAGCGGGAAAGTTGACTCCCCAAGCTAGGGTACTGGTGGCAATCAAAACCTGGATCTTCTGATTGACGAACAATTCTTCAACAGTTTTCCGATCCCGTTCGTGTAACCCAGCGTGATGGATTCCAATCCCAAATGCCAACGTTATCTGGAGATTACTATCTTTGATTCCAACTATGATATTCTCCATCGCCATTTCTTCCATGTGTAACCATTGTTTCGGGTTTTCATCCGCCACAAGGTACGCTATCAAGTCTAGTCCGGTGAGTCGCGTTTGACGTCTACTAGATACAAACACCATGACGGGTTTGTCGGGTGAGTGGAGCCGGATGGCCTGGAATGTTGGTTTATTCATTGTCGCCATTCTTGGACAGTAGTGCTTGCCTGGGAATCCATGAATGTGCACTTCCAGTGGAACAGGGCGAACAGATGGACGGAAGTTAAACAGCCCCATCTGAAATGTAATAATGAATATTTACATCTAGAGTAAAACTAGACAAGCTGACTCTGTGAAATGATGTTTACTCTACATGTACATGTACCATTTGAAAATTACTATCTTTAATTAACATGGTGTCTTATCATATCATAACTAGTTTTCTTTTGTTTTTCTCCTGTTGCCCATTGTGTTTTTATTTTTTATTTAATTTTTTGATGGATTGACCCAAAGAAAATAAATGTATCTACTATCTAGATCTTGGTCAAGGTTTTAACACTTCCCATTAAAAATTGTCATTGGGTACCCTGAGAAGCTATTTTCAGAAAAGCATTTTGCTAATTACTCAGATGCGAGTAGGTAGTTACCAGTTTCGCCACCAGGTGGCTGATTCGGGGGAATTAACATGGCAGGGTATTACAAAATTCCCTTAAACTTGAATATGCATCAATTTTAGTGGTTCACTTTTCATATTATTCTTATGTATCTGATAGTAATACAAATGAAAATATGTCCAGTAAAAGAAAATATTATCTGCCCAACACAAGAAAACATATTTCACTTTTTTGTGGTTTTACAACATGGGGTCTATGCGGAATCTCCCCGACCTAGAAGTCACATTTTCAAAGAAAATTAAATTTTCAAAGTTGATAAAGTATTTTCAAAACCACAATTCTAAATGTAATTTTACATGTAGATTCCAAATATGACATCAGTTTGACTGAATTGTGAGTTTTTAATGACGTAAATCAAGATTATTTCTACTCGCATCTGGGATGCATTAACCTTAGATGTATTGACATTACCATGTACAATAAAGAGTTCACTAAACACAGGTGTTCACTAGAGAGTGGTGTCCACTAAGACTTTTACTGTACATGTACCTGTTTGATTCCAAGCCAATCTGCCAGATCACGTGCATTTGCCAATGCAGTTGACAAACCCACAACTCTGACTGGCTGATCAGTGTGAGAGGAAATAAAGTTTGTACGAGACACAATCACTTCCAGGACTGGCCCCCTGTCAGCCCCCAACAAATGGATCTCATCAATAACAATCAGCGCAACAGCTTTCACATAGCCACGAGTCTGCCAACTACGACTGATTCCATCCCATTTCTCAGGGGTTGTGACGATGAGGTCAGCTGATCCAACAGCTCGCATATCTGGAGTGACGTCACCAGTCAGTTCGACGACCTTTTTGCCAAGTTTTTGCTCAATTCTGATTTTCCAGTCTTCCATTCTTTCTCGCACTAGCGCCTTCAGTGGAGCTATATATACACACTGGAAAGTCAAGATAAATTTCTAATTTGCTTATTTATATTATTCATGCATATTGGCTCACACTATTTGTGTATATTCATAAAATAGTTACAGCGTACATGTACATGTATGTTGAAACGCAGTTGTTGGCGGGATATGCTGATGCTATAGATCTGTGATTACATGTGGTTATTAAGGTTTCTCTACTTTTTCATCATCATGGGTTACATGTATTCTTTTTAGTTTTCAAAAAATATGAATTTTTTCATAACTGATCCCTGGAGTGTGTACTGGAACTTTATGAATAGAATCCATACAAAAGCACCAACCTTAGCCCCTGGTTTTTCCCTGAAGACCCTAAATATGGCCATCTCTGCAGCGACTGTTTTCCCAGAGCCTGTGGGTGCCCCTAGGAGGACATTACAGTCTGTGTGGTAAAGAGTGTGGAAAATCTGCGTCTGGACAGGGTTAAAGTGACTGAACTTGTACAGTGTCTCCAGGTTCGGGTTATTGAAAGCTGTCACAGGGAGGGGTTGAAGATCAAGCAGTTCTGAAATGAATAAAATCAGATTTTTACAATAAAATCCAGAGCATTTTCAGGATAATTAAGTCAATTTTGAATATATTGAAGGTCCTGATTGAGCCGCTTAAGAGATGTGAAGAAATTCTAAAATATCTTGAAATTACCCAGTTCTACTTTGAAACTAATACATAACTTCCATGTAATTGCTATTTTATAGTAATACAGTGAAACCTGTGAAGTAGAACACCTTAAGAGTCCAAAGACCAATTGACATAATGTTAAATGAACCTCTATAAGTGGAACACCTCCGAAGTGGGACAAAAAGTACCAAAGGTGTTACATTTAGACAGATTTTACAGTGTATAATTTGCCTGTTAACTGTGCAAGATTCAAGATTTTATTGTGTTTCAAACCAAACACTTGGTTTCCTCACAAAATCAATTACAAGACATTTACATATAATTATACAGTTAAAAACATGCATTGTTTCGCAAATACTATCATACAATCTAATTTTTTCCTTTTTCAAATAGCTCCCGACGCTGATTAAAAAGTTTATTTATAAAATGTATCAATTCGTTAACAATTTCAAAATCATCAGAAGTCATTAAAAAGTTATATTTTTCTTCATCCGACATATTATCAAATGTGTCAATAAAACTTAGTTTGTTAAAAAATTCAAATCTACATTTTTTATAGCCATCACACACAAGAAGAAAATGCTTTTCATCCTCTACTTCCCCCTTATTGCAAATCTGACAAATTCTTTCATTTATTTCAAGTCGATGCTGTTTAGTGCCATCTTTTTTCTTTTTCTCGTGTCTCCCTGTTTCAATTCTTAAATTATGGTTTGCTAATCTAAACCTGGCCATTTTAAACAGAGCAAAGAACTACTAACCTGTATGAGGAGGGTGTCTCTCTGGCAAGATTAGATGTTGGAAAGATATCGCACAACTGGTCTCTGAGCCTAGCCACCTATCAGATATTGCTCTAACATAGTATTGGCTGGGAAGAGGCTCAAATATTGGTATTGTAAACACAAGATTCTGATCTTCTTTGCTCATCACCTGAAAACACACACCATTAAACCTGTATTTCAATTTTGATTCAATTCTTCACATATTTCTATTTGGATTTGAACAAATGTTCTGCCATTTCTCAATAGAATGCACTTCAGAAGCTGTCAAATGCATTGAAGGAATCAATATGAATATGACTATTTGGAAGCCATGATTTGTTCTTAAATATCAAAATGAAAGCATAGAACCCCTTGGCCCATTTCATGAAAATGACAAATAGAACAGCAACAACGGTGATGTGTGAATATGAATCTATGGAGATTATCAGTGCCATCTTTTGTAATGCACCTGGAATTAAATTACCATTTTCTTCTGCATCATGAAGTACTCAGAGTGGTAGATGTGGTTATTTTCTGGATCCTCAACCCATACCCAGAAAGGCTCCGACCCTGAACCATGAACCCGATCATTCCACGTGAACTGGGGTGATATTGTTAGCCTCACTCTGAGAACAGTCCTTGTGATTGGCTGGATTGTGGCATCAAGTTCGATGTTTGGGATTTGACTTACACACTGCTTTACTTTCCCACCCATTCGTACATGGTGAATCATGTGACCTAGAAAAATATCATATAGAAAATATCATAGATTTATGTGACTTGATTTATGTGAAAAGATCGATATGGTGATCCAATTTTAAAATGTTACGTTTTTCTAAATGACTGATTCCAAGATTTCAGTTCTGTATTCGCATAGGTTCATAGTTAAGATATGCATAGCCTATTTTAAATGTCTACAAGGTCCTTGTACATGTTCATAATTAATCCCTTTCATACCTATTTCTTTAGGTTCCATTTCTCTCAGTTTATCAAGTGTTAAATTTTTGGCTTCAATCTTATTGAGAACCTCGTGTGTGAGAATAGGGAACTGTTTGAGAGGATGCTCATAACCCCAGAGTCGCTTCTCAATGGTTTTGCTGATGTTCAGTAGTCTCCCTGCCATTACAGGCCAGCCCTTACGGAGTGCCATCTCAAACAATGCACGCACAATCCTACCAGAGTTCTACAAGTAAATAAATTAAGTAAAAACCAGTATCAGGAGTAAATGTAGGTGTTCTTTTCATCACCATATTTTTGGTATCTTAACTAATGGGCAGGGGAAGCAGATCACCAATTCAACTTGAAATTTTTCAGATGCAAGAGCATAGTGCCAATATCAAACTAGATTCTGGGTAATCACTATGCAATTTACAAAGCTGCTGCCATTCTGAACTTCAAGTACAATTTATTACTCTACTTTCGTTTTTATTTGAATATTTTCACGAGGAATACTATTATTTCAGAATTCATTAATCATGGTTGGACATTATTATTTATAAAGATGTATAGCCTAATACTACATAAATCTTTTGAAGTTGAAGCAGCATAGACATGAACCATGGGCATTAAATAAATTGACAGCCCATACCTGAACAAAAAGTCATCTTAATGTTCATAGCTTTAAAATGGAGAGGCAAGGGGGCTGATCTTTTATTACTTTACTTCTTTGCAAAACTGTACTTCATACCTGTGCCACATAGGCCTGATCAGAGACCAATGAAAAGCTCTCCAGCATTTGCCTCGCAATGTACGTCTGTAGAAGAATATTTACTTTCCCGTATGTGTTTTCAACGCCACCTATAATAAAAAATATTGTTTTGTTTTAAACAGATTTGTTAAGTAGCCAAATTGCCTCTTCCCAAAAGAAATATCTAAGACATAGCCTAAAGAAATAAAATAAATAAAAAATAAAAAGTCATTTCTTCCCCTCTCATCTTCTCTTCTAAACTCTACCTTCTAAACTTATGCACGATTCTTTTCATTTTAAAAATGTAAAACTTATACATTACCTTTAACAGGCATACTGCAGACATCGACCAAATGGGTCTCAAGTTCAGTCATTTCTTCATCTCGCACCTTTATCTGATCAAACTCCTGAGCTTTAGAGACCATTGTAAAGATGTCACCCTCAGTCATTAGTGACTTGAACAACTCATTGAAGACCTATATATAAGAAACATAATTTCTATTTTTATATAAACTTTTCATTCATAAAACTCTTGAACTTTAATCATTAGACATCTGAACAATGTACAGGTATTCAAGAGACAAGCCATTTAATAAGAATTTTGGTGGAGTAGCAGTAAGAACTAACAGTGATAAGGTTCCTGTTTATGAAATCAGGGAAATATTTATAGTCAATTATGTGAACAACAAATCGTTCACCATTTTAGGACTAAAGTGAAAATTACTTACAGTAGGAATGCAAAATTCACACATAGCTAGGTAAATGGTTTTCAAGGTGACAACTTGACTCTTCAGATTGAAATCACACCTTTTTGAGGAATGATTCAGTCAACGCTGCTAGTCCAGGACTTAAATCCTTAAACCTACCTCTACTGTGTCATACTTGATGTAGAAGTGACTGGCAGTGCGTCCAAGATCTACAGGATTAAGGTAGCCAGTTTTCTCCTCAAATCTAATCATCTTTGCCTTGTCAAGAGCCCTGGCTGCATTCACAATCAAGTCATGTCTGTGCACCTCCAGAGTAGGGTCTTCCTGGATGTAGAAATAAGCAAAATCAAAGTAAGATTTGCCATGTAAACTACCTAGAATACTAGGTATTTGGTAGTAGTAAATATGTGTTCCTGATTATGAAAGATAATATAATTATGTAGCTTCATGAGTTCTCTAGACTGTAATTTGCACAAGCGAATTAATGCAACAGGTATCAAAAGGTCACATGACTAATCATGTTATGATTTTGTAAATTGAAATTTTTCAATTAATTGGTCTCAGAGCTGAAATCTGAAAGAGGAGTCATCTTGGAAAAGAAATCCATATAGGCAAGAATGTTGGCTCTCATGCATATAAATATGTAGGCGTAAGTTGAGGCAATCATTCTTTTAATATAGGATCATGTGACTAACCTGCATTGCCTTATATGGTATTACATAGGCAAGCGGGTTGCCTCTCGTGTGAACAAACATATATGTGTAACTGAACCATTCTTTTAATACAGGATCATGTGACTAACCTGTATTGCCTTATATGGTATTCCGTAGACAAGAGGGTTGGCTCTCATGCGAACAAACATGTATGTGTAACTGAGCCATTTCACAGCCTCCTCCACATTTGTCACTGTTCCAAGAGATATCTGAAAATAAAATATCCAAATTTAAGTGACACTTTACCCTTGATCCCCATCCTCTAGCCATACTCTCTCTGACTATGACATGTGGTTTTAAAGCTTCGATACTAAATGTAAACTATTTAAATGCAAAATAAAACTTCGAATTTACATTAACTACATGGCTAACTAAACCTTCCTCTATTCATGGGCCTATGGAAAATTATGTGTACATGATTTTCTGAATACTTATACTTATTGGATAAAGGCATATTGAAACAGTAATACATGGAATTAGTATTATGACCAGGTCGCAGTCATAAAAGAGTAACAGTTTGTTACACATCCAAAACCCAAAATGCTTAAAGTCCCCATCTAAAGTTTAAACCACTTTGGCTTATATTGTAGTCTTACCCAATGTTATCAAAGTGTGATATGTGAAACTTTTTTTTTAAATTTCAAAAAGTGGTTTTTGATAGACTTTTTGTTCCAAAATTTGTGAATTTATTTAAAACTAACTTTTAGAGGTCACACATATCTTTTAATTAGCCAAAACTCATACGAATGCATAGCATTCATCCTCGCATGTTTTTTGCCGAAAAAAATTAAGAAAATCAGTTCATAAATAAGCGAGAAATGAACTTATCAGTGCATGAAAATGGTTCCGAGAAAAATGCATTTAAAAATTCTAGTTCTCATAGAAACCAATGGTACAATGATATCTAAAACATAATATATTCTTCCTTTTAACCTGGTTAGACAATCAACATTGGTATATTATTGAAGTCTAGCATATTCAGAAAAGATTGACATTGAAAAAAAATTCTAATTTTTTCAAAAAGTTTTTGTTACCTTTGTGACATCACTAATGTTTCAAAATATTTTTGATATGCTAAAACATTAAAGTGGCCTAT